TTTAAATGCATATTCATCACAAAATATAATTCCTCTGGTAGGATATTACGCATGCGCTAACACACTAACGTAGCCAGATTGTGTACTGGCTAGTATACGCAGCGGTGACCTTACATGCAAGGTCTTCCTCCTATTTCTTAAATGATGTCTACTGATGGAATGTTATCATATAAATCTATGCTAGGATAACTCCTCTTCATGTTAAATGCACAATCCTTGCAAACTACGATTTCTCTTGGGAGATATTGCGCATGCGCGCGCACCGTGTTAGGCGTGCAGTGCTGTCTGAGTCAAACTTCATAATAGGCTTGCTAAGGGTGAGAGGGGATGGGAGACTGAGATAAGGCGACAGGGAAAATAGCTGGGGCGGTAGAAAAAGAAGGAGGCTGAGCGAGGGACAGGGGAGGCAAGGGGAAGGACGCGAGGGCATAAAGTAATACACCATCACACAGAGGCAGAGAGAGAGCGCGAAACAATCACGCTCGCACTCAAGCTATAGCTCATATAACATAGGATCTAACATAGAGCATAGGATCGACTGAATAGCTTTGCCTTTGAGCGATAACGTGCCAAGCTGCGCGCACCCCAAACTCTATACATTATTACAGGGTCATGTGAAAGGCAGGGCAGTGACGCCCAAGTAAAATATTGAGATCGCGACCCGATCTAATTCATAAGCGCGTTATAACCCCGTAAAACGACTGGTATATACCCTAGATTAAAAATATTATTGAAATAAAATTATTTTCAATCATTTGATAAAGGCTGTTTATATCATGTATTGTTTCCGTTTACACTTATTATATAAAATTACGATCTAGACGTAAATCTAAAATGGTCTTATAGGGAATCTTTCGGGGCGATTGTACGTGGCCGCGGTAACGAAAACAGTAATGTAAAGTAAACAATACGCCGGTCAATGGTTCGCTCCTGTCTTTTTGGTGGGAAGTATTCCACTTGTAATACCGGCTTCTGCCACGAGGGCAGCATCGTCCAGTCATGAATTTGAGCGTAAATATATATTCGTGATTATGGCAATGCGTCTAACACTGTTGTGAAGTTAACCTTCGATTTCTGTAGTTATAATACGGGCCTTGAAAAATGTTTGCACGATTTAATTAACTTAATAGCGACGACTATGAAAATCGCTAGACGTTATACCCAGTATTACACGAACAAAAACTACAATCTACAAGTAGAAGTAGAATCGATATGTGATGATCAGATATTCTAGATTTAGTCGAAATATTCCCTAATCTTAGAAATAGTAAAGAGAAACTTTGCATTACTCGTGTCATGCTATTGCGACGTGTATTTATTTGTCGTACTTTGTTTGATATACAGATAGACACATTGTGAAGCATTCATATCACCACTTATTGGCTAAATTTTATTTTATTATTGGTAAGTGTGCTAGCGCGCATAATATGTGATTACTGAAGAAAGGCATCGAGATCGATTTTTACTGTCAAGTTACTGTGAGGACTGTTTGCTCAGCATAATTTTATCAAAACTCTGGTTTTATTTGGCAGATGCTTGACTGCGTTAACTCTGGTACCGTGGTACGTCTCTATCCCTGCTACAACAAGATTTGCTACGACCAGTTAACGATCCGGAGAGAGATATTCTTCATATCACAACTGCCGCTCTGTATATGCGTTCTATAAATCAAAACAAAAATGTGAAAATTACTATCGATTTGCTAAATACGACAGTAACTGTTATTGAGCGCGCTTTAAATCACGCTTTATTTAGCCGAGAGATGGCAGGACTGTCGCTCCTACGTAATTTTACAAATCAAAATCTCTAAAACAGAGGTAAACAGAGCTTGCACAAACATGATTATTATAGGATTTCAAATGTTATATCATAACTATAAGTATAAGGTCGTATGCCTTCTTTCCTCAATCTGTTTGGCACCTTTGTATAATAATAAATTATTATAGGAAGGGAATAGACTAGTCCGAGCCGACGCAGACCCCAGTATGGCAGTAATAAACCCGCAGGCCCAAGGATAGAGAACATGGGTCCCAATAAAAGTTATTAAAACAAATTACATTGGATGATTGATTTTATTGGGACCCATGTTCTCTATCCTTGAACCAACCCGCACCCTCAGATTAGCAAAGCGGAGTTATAACATTGTGTGGAGTAGGCGAGGTACGGCCCGGCCTATTACTATTACTATTAGTATTAGATAGTACCAGCGTACGTTCCGGTATACCGGACCGTACCCAGGGTACGTTCCGGCAGTACCCCGGGGGACATAGACCCTCTCAGCGTAAATTAGAGCTTTGCCCTCAAATGTCGGTCCAGGTATATTTTCAGAAATCTGTGATCAAAGCATTGCCATTGATTTGATTTGTTTACACTGACAGGTTTCACCAGACTACATGCACCCACTGAGTGACTGCATGACCTAGCCCGGCTACAACAGAGTTGTCTACTTCATTCTTCTTGGCAGCACATGATATAACATAACACAAAATGCTGCGTCTCCTGACATTTCTCCATAACAACACAACCTTAGTTGGTGCTTGCCTTCTCCGACCATCAAGGCTCAGTGCTGGGGTGACGAACAGATGGCAGATAAAGCAGGTTGCCGCGTCTACTGATGTGCGATCGCACATCAATGGCACATCATCTACTTACGTGGAACAGATGTATGAGCAGTGGCTGACAAACCCTGCATCTGTTCATGAGGTACGTACTGCATTCGTACGTACATATTGTATCTTTGTAAATTTATAGAGAAATATAGCTCTACCAATATAGACCCGGGAATGCAGCCAAAGGCTATATAGAGCTATACCCATATAGCCCATTGTTCCAGAGAAAGGGAGTGAAGATGATATTATTCAATTCACGTGTTATTCAATCATATGTCTGGTTTATCCAGATCTATAGATTATATATATATATATATATATATATATATAGCTTTTTATTGTTTCAAGTCGTGGAATGTGTTTTTCCACCAACAAGTTGAGCCGAAGGTTGGAGAGCCTGCACAAATAGGAACACCATTGCACGCATTTGACCCTGAAAACCCCCCACAACAGGTGGCAGCATCATCGGTTGCTGCAAACGAGACGCGCACGATAGATGAGCATCTGGCCGTGCAAGCTATAATACGAGCATATCAGGTACAGGGTGCATGTGATCTTATACAGCTCCGATACATCGCAGACATTGACCGGTCGTAATAGTGATCGCAGCTAATCACTGCTAACTCGTAGTTTCATTTCTAACAAGTGAACAGTGTGGTGAACAGGCCCACTGTGATGTAGTATGCACATTAAATCAGCGATCACAAAGATACAGTTGTGATCGTAGTTAGCTAATCTTATTCATGAGTTAATAGCATCGGCCTTGTTTCATGCATTTCTGACTAACCTACACATATATGCACCTGTGATGGACATTTGGTCATAACTCGATCGATTAATCTGTTGAGCAGTAGGGTGCAGGCACGAGTGTTTCCCCGACAGCGCATATGCTATAATGCGCTTGAGATCGTATCACGACAGTGCAGGCTTAATTCACCCTCATAAGCAGCGCAATGTTTGGCATTTTCGGTCAGGGGCATGATGTCAGAAGCATCGTTAATAGTTATGGCGTCAAATGTCATAATTTTTGTACAGCAAGTCGTTTTAAAATTTATGACATTTTACAAGTATGATGTCATAACTGTTTAAATGATGTTTTTGATGACAGGCCTCGTATGCACATGAGCAACGATTGCAAGCAAAGTTGGTGGCAATGCGTGTGTGTGTACGTGTGCGTGTTTTTCGTGTGTGCTAAAATCATTGTTCGCGTCTTTTTGAACTCATCCCGGTGATCTTCGTTTTGCTCATGCTGCGATGCAGCATAACGGACATCGCGTTTGTAAAATAGACCCGCTAGGAATAACATCCGACATAGGTAACTTGCGTCTGGACACGCCCTTCACAAAGTTGGTGCAGAGGCAGTGGAAACATGGTACGTTGTAAGGGTCGTAGCTAGCCCATTTTACCTTGGACCTAGGAGGAGGGGGGGGGGGCAAAGTCACATGTGGATTGTGTTCTGGGCAGGTGACTGAGGGCAATCCACCACTGTTCATGTAACAGTGTCTACATTTTTCTAGGGTGTCAGCTGACCTTTTGCCCCTCTCCCTCCCCCATTGCTAGCTAGCTACCTACCGTCCCTGATTGTCGTTGAACATGTCGGCATGAGCTGCACAATGTATAGGCTGAGTATGTAGTGCATGCATGAGCTGTACAGTGCACATAGTAAGGCTGCTGCTGCACCTTGCGTGCTTCCAGTGAATGTGCAAGCTTGTGTGCTGCTTACATGTGCATGAAATTCGAACCAGAATGAAAACGACAAGTGGGGTCCATTTAACGGATTATACCATGGTACCCCTGCTTGGCCATGGCATGCTATCATTGAGCTTGTGCTACCTATGAAGTCCTTCGCTTTGAAGAAGGTTTGTGTTTTGCATACATAGAGCATCAAGCCATCTTGCATTCGCTCAAGTTTGAGGTTTATTTTGATCTTGACTTTGAGTTTTTTTCCCCATTTTTTTTGCTAGTTAGTTGGTTGTTTTGTTGCAATAGGTGCGAGGCCATCACCTAGCATTGCTTGATCCACTAGGATTCACTAATGCGCATTTTGAAAAGGCACTTCCTCTAGCACTTAAGATGGTAAAATTTGGCAAGTGCATGTGTTTGCTATCAGATGCTGTTATTTCGCACTGGCAGTGATTCTGCTACGCGTCCTCCTCACAGTAACATGCTAATCGGAAGATATCGTTTGTAAGTTTATGTCTTAGCATGTCCAGTCAATGTGAGCATTAAGTTCAGTTGAAAAAATACAATGGGTGATCATGTATATGTCATCTATATCTACATGTATATTTATACATATATCTATATCTATATCTATATCTATATTTATACCTACAGCTATATCTATATCTATATCTATAT